ATATATATTATTAAGGTGGTATGGCGTATATATATATATTATTAAGGTGGTATGGCGTATACATATATATTATTCAGGTGGTATGGCGTATATATATATATATATATTTAAGGAACCCTAAGTATAAAGGTCGTTTACCTGGCTTTTAGCCAAATATTTCAAGCATCTCCACACTAAATCCTAATGTTTAGCAAAACAAAACGAAATCTTAAATTAAATATTTTAAAAGTTTCCCAATCATTTTTAAGTTTGGAAATTTAAAAAACAATATTTAAATAGATGCAGGTTTAAATTATGAGACTTTGATGACAATTTTAAACTCTTTAAATATAACGATTTAATGCTTTGATTTGGTATTATGTCATAAATATTCTTTTTCAAAGAAAAAATAAGTTTACAGCTGAAGGGAAACTGGAATGTAATATCAAAGATCAAATAATTTCCGTACAAACGTCTCTGAAGTCTCATCCTTTGTGGGTAACCCTGTATATAATGAAACTATTCAGTATCAGACTAATTATTAACGTTATGATTGATATACCAACCTGAATTAGGAATCTTCGTTTTTTCAAACTAAATTCTTCAATTGCGTTTTGGTCAATAATTTCCCAAAAAAGTATAAAAGAGAAAGAACGAAAGGTTTATGGTTGAATTGGGATCGAAAGTGGCAGCTTGCTTTAAATTTTTAAAGAATTATCATAATTGTTAATAACATTTAATTATTTCAGGACAAGTCCCTTCAACTACCATCATGCCCAAGAAACAAAATATTTTTGATTCCTTTTCCCACTCTGCCATCCAGCAGTTCAAGGAGGCCTTCGGCATCATGGACGTGGTTAGTATCATCATTATCATCATTTTCCTCATTATCATCGATATCATCATTTTCATCATTGTCATCAATATCATCATTTTCATCATTATCATCATTATTATCATTATCATCATTATCAGCATTATCATCATCATTATCATCATTATCATCATTATCATCATTATAATCATTATCATCATTATCATCATTATCATCATTATCATCATTATCATCATTATCATAATTAGCATCATTATCATCATAATCACATCACCTAATTATCTATCATATCATATCTAGGATAAAGATGGACTCCTATCAGCCTCTGACCTCGTTGCTGCCTTCGCTAATCACGGTAAATCCGTAGGAAGCGGAGAGGCTCAGGTAATTAAATAATTTCTAATCTTCTGAATTATCCCTGGTATTGTGGAGGTTATGTCAGAGGTTTAATACTAGTTTAATACTGGTTGAGGTTGGCACCAGCTGACTGCAGTTGTTAGGCATTAGAGCCTCCGCCATCCTCTATATACTTAACCTCCTCCATTCATTCATTCATTCATTCATCTTTCATCCCTCTATCCTTATCTCTCATAATAGTCACAGAATATATATTTGGTTTGTTTATTTGTATCCAATAAACGTTAAAACGGATAAAGAGATTGGGGCCAATTTTTTGCAACTAATATACCCTCAGGGAAGTTTTCCAAATGTTGTCTGAAAAAGATGTCGATTTTATGAGATAGATAGATAGATAGAAGGATAGATAGATAGATAGATAGATAGATAGATGGATAGATAGATAGATAGATAGATAAATAGATAGATAGATAGATAATGTACTGGTCAGCTGTACCTGACCTCAGATACAATAAGCCAGGACCCATCCAGACAAAGCTAGTCTGATTTTTTCACTTTGCATTTTGAAGCAAGATAAAGTCTGCTTTTTACCTGCAGAAAATTACAAATAAAATATTTATTTTTCACAATTCTACTCAATCAGGATAATTTTATTACATTTTTGAGAGATTCGTGATCTAAATGTAAAGATCGAATTACTTTGGAAACCCAAATAAGAGAGTCAACATTTACAGGAGAAGTGATAGGATATAAAGGTTCTCCTTAAGTAGTAGATAATCAAATAATTAAATTTTTTGGTAATTCACGTTTAAAACCCCAAAAATCTATATTTTAGGAGTAAATTGAAAAAAATCGCTTGTAATTGGTGAACACTTTGCTTGCACGCTGTGTTACGTCATCCGCGTTCAGTTCACACAGTACGCTAGCATACACTACGATTTTACAGCGTTTTACACAGCGGTTTAGATATATATCCACTGTTTTACGTCATCCGCATTCAGTTCACACAGTACGCTAGCATACACTACGATTTTACAGCTTTTTACACAGCAGTTTAGATACATATCCACTGTTTTACGTCATCCGTGTTCAGTTCACACAGTACGCTAGCATACACTACGATTTTACAGCTTTTTACACAGCAGTTTAGATACATATCCAATATTTTACGTCATCCGTGTTCAGTTCACACAGTACGCTAGCATACACTACGATTGTACAGCTTTTTACACAGCGGTTTAAATATATATCCACTGCGATCTCTGTCCTCGAGATCCAGACAACTCTGAAAGTTAGTCAATTTTTAGACAGCCTCGACTTTAAATTGTCGCTACGCCTTCCTTTGGTTTTATCACTTTTTGGAGCCCTAGACATATGCATTTAAAAATTACAACACGCTTATTTCTATATTAAGGGGTAAATTAGTAATTTTACAAAATAGTGCTCAATTTTTGCGTAAGAGCGTGCATATCTTGGTTTGTAGTGGGATACGTGGATACCCCCACCCCTATTTAAATTAAATGATCCTTGAAATTACGCTTACAGCTCCTTCAGAAACCCCTAAGATACATACTTTAATAATGAATATTTGCCCCTTTTTTAAATGTGATAAATATTCATAAAATATTCATAAAATAAAATTCCATGCTCAAAATTCAAAGGATTAAATACCTAATTAACATTCATAGATTTGAATAAATTATCCGAAAACTAAGATGATTTAATGTAAAATGATTTTATTCTTCATATTTGCTTATTTTTTCTTTAAAAAAATTTTAATTAAGTAAGAATTATTAATCGAACTGAGCAATTTTAAAGGGCAATATATCAAGCATTTTAATGTGAACTACATTGGAATTTTGGGAATTTAAAAAAACAGAAATGTTGCAAAAACTTTTTCTTATGCCCACAGCGAATAGATTAGGTTGAAAGTTTTTTATTAAAAATTCCTTTTGGTTCAACAAAATCTTCAGTTTAGCAAATTTAAAAATTTTCTCTAAACGTTAAATTTGATTCCACATTGTAAATTAAGTTTTGAGGAATTGAGTCTCTGCCACAAACTCTGATTTTCTAGTACCAACATTTTTGCAACCAAATGTCATAGACCTTTGCAGGCCCATAGCTAGAAACATCTAAAGGGGGGGGGGGCACAAATTTTAATAACAGTATAGATGGATAAATAGGGGGCGTGGCACAGTCGAACATTTTTTTTCACCTGAAAAACTCAATAAGAGTAAAAATTAATGAATGTAAACTAAAAAAAAATAGATTTTTAACTTTTAACATATAATAAGATAGATATTGTGCCTGCTAATTGCAATCATAAAATAGTTGAAAAGCTATTTGCATAAAAAAATGGAGGTAAAAGATATAGAGATTTGGCTTAAACTATAAATAAATGTTCTACTAAACATTTTTGAATCATGAATAGTATACTTATTTTCAATACAGGGAAAGTAAATGGTAAGTTCCTGTAAAGATCAATAAGGCTCAAGTATGCAAATCTTCAGTTTTCAATACAGGGAAAGTAAATGATGTAAGTTCCTGTAAAGATCAATAAAGCTCAAGTATGCAAATCTTCAGTTTTCAATACAGGGAAAGTAAATGGTAAGTTCCTGTAAAGATCAATAAAGCTCAAATATGCAAATCTTCAGATTTCAATACAGGGAAAGTAAATGGTAAGTTCCTGTAAAGATCAATAAAGCTCAAGTATGCAAATTTTCAGTTTTCAATACAGGGAAAGTAAATGATGTAAGTTCCTGTAAAGATCAATAAAGCTCAAGTATGCAAGTCTTCAGTTTTCAATACAGGGAAAGTAAATTATGTAAGTTCCTGTAAAGATCAATAAAGCTCAAGTCTTCAGTTTTCTCAAAACTAAAATATAAAAATAAACTCTCCTGAGCTGATGAGCTTACAAACAGCTTCTCATAATTTTTATATAATTTAAATTTGTCTCGTGTTACTTTTTGCTGTAAGATGGTTCATTAGAATCATTAATCTAAAAAAAGAAGGAAAAAGAATAATGCTTCTCAAAATACAGCAAAAAATTAATGTAAACCCTATTATTTCAAAAGACAGGATAGAAATAAAAATTCCCAATTAATTTATTTCAGAAAGCACTCAATTTTTCTTTAATTTGAAAAATAAATAATACTGTACACATAAAATTGGTAACAAAATTAAATTTTATGCCGATTTCGTTACTATTTCCTTTCTTCTTTCTCTTTTCGTTTTCTTCTTTTTTTCATTTTTTTTTGTCTCAGAAAGTGCGCCCCCCCTTCGGCGGTAAAAGGCCCCCCTTATAGCTACGATATTTTACCATTTGAATTTAGTCAGATCTTAGTTTGAAATGTCGAAGACTTAAGCCACCAGGTTGAATACATGTAGGGATTAGAAGATTTGCGTTTGCAGCAAAGACTCAATTCCTTTTCCACACTTGATAATAAATTTTGTATTAACTGAAAATGGCAAAAAATCTTTAAAAAAGTTATTGAAATATAATGTCAATCACATACTATCTATTTTCACCTTTTTCTTATTTGAGCTAAAAATCAGACTTCCTGTGTCACAAAAGTAGAATGAGGGAAAATCAGACTACCTGAGTCACAATAGGATCTGTGAAGGGGAAATTTAATTTAGTTCTTCTCGAGATACAGAATAGTATAGAACTCATTAGGTAAATATATCATACTAGGACACTTCGTGCAAATCTACTATTTCAATTTTGAATTGTGACTCTATCGGTGAGCAACTCTTTGTAAAATATTAAACAAGATCAAAAAAGTTTGCGGATTCAATCATGTTTTTCGTGAATTTTCAAAATTGCACAAAAACTTATTTTTTTAAAGCAAAATTTTTTAAATTCTGAGAATTCAACAAACAGACAGACAAGCAAAGTATATATATTGATTCTTGAGTTACAAAATAGAACGAATTAAGTAAATATGTTAACTTAAAGGGACTGTAGACGGTATTTCAAGTGTTCCTCCACTTAAAGGGACTGTAGACGGTATTTCACGTGTTTCTCCACTTAAAGGGTAGATGATCTGATTTACGACGGTATCCTTTACTCATTATCTGAGCAACAATGAAGATATCACTGGTTTTCTGTAAAGAAAATGTTAAATTCTGGCAACTTCCTTTTTTGTACATTTGAAGCAGAAATCTGCCAGTCACTTCTATAATCTAACCACAATTTAAAATAATCAGTTCAAAAACTCAAAATTTTTGAAAAAATGAAAAATCAAATAGTAATAGTGATTACCAGAAAACAAAGGAATAGGAAGACGACATTATATCAATACTTTAGAGTATTTAATGTTGTTACAAAGCAAATAGTTTACTAGACACTTATCAAATCACTAATTTATTGAAATGGGTCTGTTTACATTACACATTTCCTATGTCTAATTTTCATAAGACTTTTTAAAGTAAAAACTTGATTTTGAAAGTCGTCTTCAAATTCCAGAGTTTTCTGGTATTTACTGTATAAATTTCTAAACTTATGAACTTGTTTAAATTTCAAAATATCTCTAACTCGTTATGAAAAGAAATGACATTAGACTGCAATTGAAACTATTGCCTGCCTAAAGCACTGTAAACTCCGGTCCAATTCAATTTTAAACAGCTCAAGCTGCACTACAATTACAGATTATAAGGTAAACCGGGATAATACACCAAATGAATGAAATTTATGTGGCCTAGCCTAGGGTTCTATGAGCCATAAGCACTATTTTAAAAAAGTCTAAAATTCGCCATATTTTTCTTCAAAAGACACTTCTGCAATTGCAAATAAAACGCAGTATTTTGATTTTTGATAAATAATGAATAAATGAGTATAACCCAATTTTCAAACGGAGATACAACCCCGTTACGGTTAGGTTTGGCTAAGCTGCTTATTTTTGTATCATTTAAGGATTAGGTTAGATTAAGCACTTTCTGGGCCCGCGCTGCGGCTAGGACAGGCTAGTGTAACGGGTTTGTAACTACGCCCAATTCTCAAACACAATGTTAGAAATTCTACTTAAAGTG